ATCAGACAACCAAATAGAGGCCTGTAAATTTGTGAATATTAATCGGACCATAGTAAAACTAAAACCGATTCTTCATATAACTCTGAAAAACGTTTTTATGAAGACTAGAAACGTACCACTTTTATTATAGGATACATCTCATTCCTACATTTTGAGAAGGGTCGGTAATGTAGCCGTGAACAGAACATTCGCTAAGAATGTTCGTGGGGCTCTTTGAAACTAAACACTGACTGTATTTTAACATTAACACATACCTTATAAAGGAGAATGACGTTGGATTTGCATCACGGTCGATTAACTCCTAGAAAAGCTTATTCCATCTAATCTATATTTGTATGCTCTGACGTCTACAAAAAAACCATCGGGCGGTATGTGTGAAAGTGAATATAAATTCAACTCTTAATTCACATATATGTGCATCTGCTATAATTTCCGACCTACTAGGAGGTCGCTGCACGCAAATGAGCAAAGTTCCAGATTTGTTTGTTCCTCGATGTGAAAATGAGAAATTTGAGTACACTATGTGAAATTATTCGGAGTGTTGTGAAACTTAAAACTATTCATTATAACACGTAATTTATGAAGGAAAATGCCGTTCGAGTTGCAACGCGGTTTTATAACTCGTAGTGTAGTGTGTTTCAAGTAATCAACATTAGTACGACATGACATCTTCAAACAACCATCGGGCCATTGGTCTAACAGTAAAATTCAATACGTCTGCCGATGTCAATCACATGTTATCTGCTGCAATGTTCTCCGACGAACTTCGAGGTTGCTGTACACAAATTAACGAAGTTCTAGATTTGTGCTTTTCACGATCTGATATGGCTTAAAATGAGGACACCAAATATCAGCTAGTAAATTTGTGATTTTAATTCGGACCATAGTGAATCTTATTACTATTATCAATATGACTCTGAAAAAGTATTGTGACGTAGGTTCGTAATTACGCCCTTTATTGTCAACCCCTGCTTTTTGGAGTATGTTGCCTTGAATCCGATCCGACTGTAAAAGCTTTTCACACGCTCAAGTGAGTTTTATAATTTTGAAGAAGATCTGTATTTTGTTATACGTACAATTTCTTTTTTACAACGAGGAGCTGTTTCAGAAAATTTATAAAACGATATACACATGCAGAAATACGCTCTATCCCCACAATAAAATATTTTTAAAATCGGATGTGGAACACGCGGAATGACGGACATGAGCTGCCATTAAGAAAGTATTCACTTAACGACGTTAACAGAAAGCGGACCATTCAAATTCACTTTAGCGTTTATTCCATAGTAACTAATCCTCGGTCGCGTGATGTGCGCTTCACGATCTTAAGTTTCCCAAGCGTCTAAAACAGATATTAACTGCTTAGTTTATATTCAAATTAATTCACAGTCGATTAACGCTTTTAATCGTCTAGTCGTTGAAAGATGACATTAAGTTTTTGGTTTCGATTCTCGCTCAAGGCAAGGGCGTTACTTTACGTATCACTCCGTACTTCAGCTTTTGCAACAGCTTCACAGAAAGTAAATGTCAGTCACTATACTTATTTATCTGTCCTGTGTGGGCGTATAATTTTCCCTCACATGAAGGACAGTATCTGAAGATATTTAAAAACAAAGCCATAAGCAGAATATAATTACCTGCATAGGGTTTGAGTTTTTCGCGGCGGTGAGTCTGAAGATGTCACTAACTCTACGAATCAGAGTCATTGTTGAGAAGCTAAATAGTACGATCTGGTAGTCAAGAGATTCGTCGTCTTTTATGGAACCCCAAGGTTCATTACCGTGTCAAAGAACTCGTCACCGGTCCAATCCTGAGCCACATAGATCCAATCCACACCCTTCCAAATTATTTCCATAACAATCATTTTAATATTATCATACCATCCCACAAACCCCTTAGTTATTTCGAATGGCTCCTTACCTTCAGGCTATCCAACCAAAATTCTGCACGTATTTATCTCCCTCACGCTAGTACAAGCCCCAAACATCTCATTTTCATTGATTTGATCACTCTAATAAAATTTTATAAAAAGTACAAATTACAGAGCTCGTCATTTGTATCAGCCACATTCAAAATAAAATTCTGTGTTCTTAATAATTGGGGTAGCGAGACAAGGGCTTCGTACCCTTAGGCTAAAGGTACAATTTGGCTGCACGCGACAGAGACAAGCGACCGAGACAGGCGACAGAGACGGGAGACGGACACATCGCAGCTTGTCGCCACACACTTTTGAGGTGACAACCGAAACATGCGGCAAAGTGTTTGTTTTCTTTGTTTTGTTGAGACATACGTGCACATATTCTGTAAAAAATGACTACCAAAATGCTTCTAAAAAGGTTACTCGAAGAAGAAGAAGAAGATGATGTGTTGCTGTGTTATTTGTTGCGAAAGAAACAAAGAAAACCTATGAATTTAATATTCAAAACCAGACGTGAAGAAGGATCTTTCTGTCGGTGGACAGTGGTCGGTTTTCTGTTACTAATTCTACCAATTGCTCATCTTGGTCACCAGTAAATTTAATTTCTGCCATTATTTTACTCAACAAC